TTTGAATTCATAGGTAATAACTGAAGCCATTCCAAACACTGTTGGGGGTAAAGTTATTGGACTTGTGACTTCAAGAGATGAGATTCCTGATCTTTTAAAGGTTAGTAGGGATCCTAAAGTGATCAATCAGTAAAACTGATACTTTACAACAACAGTTTATAGTTTAATTTGGAACTCGACATTAAATTTATTTTTCAGCTTGATGATGTGATTGATCTTGTGATCCCAAGAGGCAGCAACAAACTTGTTTCTCAAATCAAGAGTTCAACCAAAATTCCCGTTCTTGGTCATGCAGGTTAGATGGGTTACTTTTGTCTTATATATGCTTGTCCTAATGTAGAGGTGTTCATGGGTCGGGCTGAATTCGAGCCTAGTTTCTCATTTGGTGAAAGTATACTGTATGTTTCAGATGGAATATGCCATGTATATGTTGATAAGTTTGCTAATATGGATATGGCAAAGCGGATTGTTTTGGATGCAAAAATAGACTATCCAGCAGCTTGCAATGCAATGGTAATGTATCGTTCATTTGTCTATTTATTTCTCAAATTTATTCTTTGAGGCTCTATTATGTTTGAATATTTTCATATCGTGTTCGGCACATTGCATAGTTATTTAATGCTTCTCTTTTACTTTTGGCAGGAAACTCTTCTTGTCCACAAGGATTTAGTGCAGAACGGTGCACTTAATGAGCTAATCGTCGATCTCCGTATGCAAGGTACATTTCAAATACCTTCACTTATTATATATGGTACTTCAAAACCATTTTGAAATGAACTTCAGTTATCCGAAAGTGACCATGATTTGTATGCATTTCCAATACATTGTGATGCAATATTTGGAACACGAATGGATAACCAACAATAATTAATCTTTTGCAGGTGTTAATTTATATGGTGGACCAAGAGTAAGTACTTTGTTCAATATCCCACAAGCACGCTCTTTTCATCATGAATACAGTTCAACGGAATGCACAGTTGAAATAGTCGATGACTTGGCTGCAGCCATCAATCACATCCATCAACATGGCAGGTATGTTATTCACTCTCTTGAAAGAGAAGATTATTGAAATATCTTTGTTTGCCTTTCTGTTTGGATGTATGCCAACGTTTCCACGAGGAGACGGACATGAATTACCCTTTTTTTCCCTCCCTTTGCAGTGCACATACCGATTGTATCGTTTCAGAAGACCGAGAAACTGCAGAAGTCTTCCTGCATCAAGTCGACAGGTGATATTTCAATTATCTAGTTGTCACATCTAAAATAAGAAAATGCAATGGTATGTTCAAAGATCTGTTGGTCGTCGTGTATTTAAATGGGCAGTGCTGCTGTTTTCCATAATGCAAGCACGAGATTCTGCGATGGTGCTCGATTCGGTCTAGGTGCCGAGGTATTGTATCCATCGTTTTCGACACCTTTTTAATATGTCTAAGTTCAATAGTCAAGTATTTGATTTCTTTTTTCTTCTATAACCAAATAGGTTGGAATAAGTACGAGCCGAATTCATGCTCGGGGTCCGGTCGGAGTGGAAGGATTGTTAACAACAAGATGGTACAGATCTATTAAAGATCATTTATCTACTACATATTTCTACGTACATGTATTTATACATACATGCTTCCTATAGGAAATTATCGTCGGTAATCCTGGTTTATTCAAATCGTTTATTTTACCGTATGATGACTCCGATTTTGTTTTTCTTGCCAAACACAGGATTCTGAAAGGAAGTGGGCAGGTGGTGGATGGTGATAAAGGGGTCATTTACACCCACAAAGACATGCCCGTTGTTTCTTGAAAAAAATGCATCAGAAAAAGAACCCCAAAATGCAAAGGGGAAACAATGGCTGAAGCTGCTGTTTTAGGTTACTTTTTTTTAATGGGATAGGATTTGTTGAAGGTATTGTTGTTTATTACTGTTAATGCTACGCTCTGTTCTGATGTAATTTTATTTCTTTTATGTTATAATGCAAAACAACGCAGAGCACTTTAATTCCATCGTTTGCACTTCCTTTGATCTTGTGAGATGTCTCTACTTCTCGTAAAACTAAGAACAAAATTCTTTCAGCGATAATGTGTTGTTACACGTCACCAAGTGCTGTGTGTGGTCATCTGATTAAAAATTTAAAAATATTAAATTAAATTAAATTAAAATTATGATGAACTTAATAAAATATGCAAGTAGTAAGGATTATATGAACACTTATATTTTAGGTAAGTGTTCACTCGTCTCAAGTTCAAAAAATTTTAGTTAGTTAAGTTGATTAATCTTATTTTAAGATTCAATCTTTATTTAATGTTTTTAGGAGTTGAATTTATGAGTTTTGAGTTGAACCGTGTCAAGTTTTTGAGTTTCTGTTTATATTTAATTATAAATATTTAAAATATTAGTGTTATTTGGTCCAATTTAACAACTTTCTCTAATCATTTATAAGATATACGTGTATAATTCTTCATATTTTTTCACATTAAAATGTTATTTAAGAAAAACATATGTCATCTAAATTATAAAACATGTTTATAATAAAAAATTCAAGCATTAAAAGTTGGAGAAAAAGTATTAATGAGATCATAAAGTATATTAACGATAATTGAAATAAGTTATGGAGTGTAAAAAATTATCAAAATTAAGGATTAAAAGTTGTCTTTTAAAAGAAAGTCGTGTCTCATACTCTTGTCTGAATATGTATCTGACACGAATTTTGACGAGTTGCTAGTGATAGTAATGATAATGAGGAGGATGAAAATTGCAGGTGAGAGCCATTTTATTTGTTACAGCCGCTAGTTCTTCAGCTGGTGTGCAGTTGTTTTCTCTTGTCTGAATAACACGAATTTTGACGAGTTGCTAGTGATAGTAATGATAATGAGGAGGATGAAAATTGCAGGTGAGAGCCATTTTATCAGTTGCAGCCGCTAGTTCGTCAGCTGGTGTGCAGTTGTTTTCTCTTGTCTGTTTATTCAAGAAAATCGTATCAGGTTGACGTTGATAAAAATAGGTTTCAACACCATACCCGTGACCATTTTAACATACCATCCGTCAACCAAGACCATTTTTTGATATTATCCAAATTAGATCTCAGCCTCCATTTTTCTGATACAATTACTTTTTAGGTCCTCCTAATTTTGAAACTAAACAAATTAAACTTTAGCCAACTCTTTTTTCGGTTTAAATATGTTTTAAGTCTCTTTCGTTTTAAAATTAAACATATCAAATCTTATCCCCCCTCCATTTTTAATTTGATTCTTATTTATATTTTTCTTTAAAGTTGCATCCTAACCCTATCCCGAATCAACACTTGTCTCATATTGTATGTAGTCACATCCCTACCCAGTCAAGATGGTGAAAGCAGTTGTCGATTCATTCGAATAATTCAAATTTAGTCCAATTAATTCATTAATCATATGTCAAAATAATATTATAGTATGAATTTTAAAATTCATTATCTCTCCTTAAATAAAGAGTGATTTATTGAGATGGAAAACAATATGTGTCTGACTCACTCATGATAGGAACTGCTCAGCCAAAGGGAATTACAGCTACGCTATCGTGCGAAGGTGATCAATTTGCATTACCTACAACAAAAAGTATAATTACTATTTTCTTCTTAATTAATTGTTGTGGTCCTCGAATATTGTTATAATGATGAAAATGACTTCAGGAATATGCTATTTAAGTTCTTTATCCTCTCCATTCTTGGGTCACCAAAATATATATGAGATCTGCTTAATTTATTTTGAGGTAAAACACATTTCAGACCACTCAATTATTAATAAGGCTATATATGGGTCGTCTACTTTTAAAAAGTCACACTCAGGTCACTCAATTAGTTTGTTACAAACAAATCATTCCTCCGTTATAATAGTCTCTAAAATTATACATTCTATCAATTTTGTCATAACCCAAAAATATTTTAATAAATTTTATTCTTCATTTTTAAAAATTCTATCAATTTAATTCTTATTAGTCTCTCAAATAACTTATATTTCATCATCGATTATCATCTCACGACACTCATCAAACAACTTTTTTTAGACAATGATCGTTCAATCTCCATAAATAACGACCATAGGATTTCAAATTGGTCTTCTTCACATAAATAAATGGTCCTTTCCAAATATTGATTGAATTTTATTTTAATTAGTATCACTATTATTATAACAAGTTTTTTTTTTTAAATAAGAGGTTGTAACGTTTAAGGCATTATTAAATTCATAACCTTCATAATGTTACAATAATATTGATATCAATCGAATTAAATCTTGATAAAAAATTACTAAATATTTTATTTTATTTTTAAAGTAGAACTAATTTATTAAAAAAACTCAATTTAACATGAACATTTTTTACCCATTGCCGTGAAAATTTATAGTTGGATTAGGTTTTTTTTAAAGAGGTAGGTCTGCCAACTGCAATTTTTAATAATTAATTTCTAACATTAATTAATTGAGAAAAATTATGTCTGCCCCATAATGTCAATTCTCCACATGGAAGGGCATGCATCATTTAATTAACTTTTTCCCCTACATTTATTTATTTATTTATTTATTAATCCACTTGATTCCAACTCGAAAAAACAAAAGAGATTTGACTTATTTTTTGAGATCCTTGGATGCTATTTTTACGTGAAGAATATACTAAATAAATGAGAATTAAAAGGACTCGATTGTCAAAATTTTGGAAGATAGTGATGGCCAAAATTTTGGAAGAATAAACAAATCAACTTCCACTACACGTTTTTCTTATAATTTTTTAAATTTTCTTTCCGATGGCAATTTGACATGCATCGTGAACCAATGAAATGTGATCAAATTAGAAGGAATTCTTTTTATATGCATTTATGGGATTTTGGCATACATAGTTTGATGGAATCAATAATTATGAAATTGAGAGATCTTTCAAAATTAAGATTCTCCTATTGTCGTCTGGTTAATGCATTCCGTTGATACGGATATGTGTTCGATAATTGAAGAGCGTATAATTTATTCATATTTAAATATATATCGAACACGAAAAAGAAAGTGAAATAATTTTATTTTGTAATATACAGTAGAGTTACACATTTCATACCAAAGATTATCTTATGCAGTTGACAAACAGAACATGACCATCAGACTTGCAGAAAACTGAGATTCAACGCATGCGGAGTGAAAAAAAAGGAATAAATAAAAAGAACAAATGCATTCCTTGAGACAATACATGCTTTGCTACTTAATTTCACCTGCAAAACGGAAGACGTGGTCACATGACGATCTCTGGCTTCAAAATGCTCGATTTGATCTCTTTGTGAGGCAAAACCACGCCGCCATTGCTGTAAATTTCATCGCATACATGTACGTCTTCTCCCAGAATAGTCATGTTTTCTACTCTAGCCCATTGGCCGACGGTGGAGTGCCATCCGATAATACTGCTGGATACGCAAGCGTGTTTCTTGATGCGGACTCCACGCATCACGGTGCAGCGAGAGAGTCTGACACCAGACTCGACAACGCAGCCTGGACCAATTGCCACATCTGGTCCGATCAAGCATCCTTCTCCGATTTTGGCAGTCTCGTGAACCAAAACATTTCCCACAATGTGAGAACCAGCGGCTAACTTCATTGAGGCTTTCTTCCGCAAGGAGTCTAGATAGAGTCTCAGTCCAGTAATGTAGTCCCTTGGCTGACCAATGTCCATCCAGAACCCGGGAAGGACCATTGCATACAGCTTCTTCTCTGCTGCAATCTTTGGGAAGACTTCTTTCTCGATTGAGGTCGGCCTCAGCTCAATTCTATCAAGAACAGAAGGGTTCAGCAGATATATCCCAGCATTGATTTTGTTCCCAACAAACAATTTTGGTTTCTCCACAAATTTGTCCACTTGCCCCGTTGATTCTTCCATCATCACCACACCGTATTTCGATGGCTCGTCCACCTATTTAGTTTCAACTCGAGTATTACAATCTCTTCAAAGAAATTAACTTAAAATCTGAAAATAAAGAACTTAGAGCTGAATTGTTACCTTGGTTACCATAATGGAAGCTTCTCCTCCATGGGCTTTGTGGAATTCAATCATTTCTTTGAACGGATACTCACTGATAACATCACTGTTAAGGACAAAAAATGGTTCACCAGACTCGTCAATGAGTTTGTCCCTAGCCAAAGCAAGAGGACCAGCAGTGCCAAGCGGCTCCGTCTCTTGAGAGCATGTGATCGTGATCCCGAGTTTAGTTTCGAATTCCTTCAAGAAGTTCAACATTACCTACAAAATCAAGTGCTCAATGGTCAGCTTACGAACCACTTAGCCACTAAACTTTTAGTCCGTTGCATTAAATTTTACACATGAAAGACTCACTCATGTACCTCAGGTTGGTAGTTAATAGCCAATACAACTTCAGTTACTCCAACAGCCTTGAGAGCCTCGATCTGAAAACATCCAAAGCTACATTATTCCACAAAATAAACAAACTTACCTTGACAAAACAACAATCATAAATAATAATAAAAATGATTCCAAAATCCATAGTCCAGAAATATACCTGATGAAGTATCATGGGTTTATTAGCGAATTCAACAAGCGGCTTTGGAAAACTCAGAGTCAAGGGCCTCAAACGTGTTCCAAATCCTCCAACAAGAATAAGTGCCTTCATTGTGATACACCTTTTGGATTACCTGTAGATAATACGACCAGTATCTTAAGCAACTTGAGAAATGCTTAATCCCCAAAAGCTCTTCTACAAATGTTAAACCTAAAAACAATACTATGACAATAAAATGATTGAATTAAAAAAATAGAAAACTTTGATGTGAAAAGAAATCCATTAAGTGACATGAATCAAGAACGAAATCCAGCTATAGAGTAACCTCTGCTTCAAGTAATGACAGATGGTTTAAGATACTTCATTTTTTCTTATTCCATTTTTTAAAACCTTTTAAAGGGAAAAGAAATGTATATTTTTTAAAGAATCTCCTTTTCACGCTTCCACCCTCCAAATCCAATGGTGCCATAGGAAACAGAAAATCGCCACAAAAATCGCACCTAGAAGGAAATAATAAACACAAATTTTCAACTAGAAGCATTTGAATTTGACAATTCCACCAAAGCCAGTCTGGATCTGGCGACACGGAAACTATCGATTCTCACAAAAAAATTGAAAACAAACATAGCAAAAAGAAATGAAAACTTCAGTAGAATTCTTAACCAACGCCAGAATGGCGAGTAAAACATTAACTTAGACACTGGCTAAACGAAAATGAGACTAAACAAATAAACTCAACCTCCGTTGGTCTTCTTAAATTTAACCATGTAAACAATCAGGTCTAACAAGAGACATCATTGCAAATCAAATTAAACCTCAAAATTCTCCCAAAAACCGCTATTAAAGCAACGAAATCGAACTAAAAATCAACGAACGTCAAATCACAATGTCAACTCCACGTCTCCACCGAATCATTCAAAGCAAAAATCTTACGAACTTTGAGAGAAGACTTTGTACAAAGCTCGAAACAAACAGAATTAAGTGAGTACCTTAAAGGCTTACCAGATCCAAGCACGAACTGAGTTCAAACAACAAAACTCGAGCCCGATTCGAGGCAACCGAAAAGAAAAAAGGCTGAGAAATGAGTCAACTAGGACGAGTTGTATAGTTTTTGTTTTCCGTCGGTAGCTGAGCTGGCAGCTGAGAGGGAATCCTGGGGGGTGTTGATTATGAGAAAGGAGAACGGTATTTATATACAAAAGGCGAGACTGTGGTGAAGATAACTAACGTGAAGTTTTCCTTGGCGGACTCGAACTTTAATTATTAAATTCAATTTATTTTATTTTGTGGAAAAAAGATTTCTAGCGACGGATTTGGAATTCGTAGGGGATGTTTCCGGGTGGTTTCGGGTTTTGGACGGGTTACGGGTCGTGGATAAAATAGTACGGTCCGGGTTTTATCGGCGAAGGTGGGTGTGGTCAGAAAATGTTGGAAAAAGGAAAATGATAGGTAGGCTATCATTGTTGGGCAAAATTGTGCTGAAGTTCATTCAACTATGTTAAATAATTATTTTAACTATAAAATTATCATTAAATTTATTATACTCTTATAGAATAATTGTTATAATTTTATAATAGATATGAAAGTTTAGAAAATTTAATGACTATTTTGTAATAGTTTGATAAAATTTCATGATTATTCTATGACAATTTGATAAATTCAATGATCATTTTATAATTTTTAAAAGTTTGATGATGAAGGATCATTTGAGTATAATTCAATAATCCATTAATTTTGTTATTTTTATATTTTGAAAAGAAATTTGTTATATTTTAAAAGAAAAAATAAGTGAAAAATAAAAATAAGAAAATCCAATTTGAAAAAAATTAGAATCAATCTAGCAGAAGTCACAAGTATAGTTCAAATTTTAAATTAGTTTTAAAGTTATTAAATATTTTAATTAAAATTTTAAAATATAAATATCGGATCAATCAAATCTTTTATATCAATTTAGATACTAAATATCAGTTTAAGTTAACATTAAGCATATTTATTATATATGTATTAAATTTTAAATAAGTGTATACTTTTTGTATTGATATTTTAAATGTAATATGTTCGGAACAAAATATAATAATTATACTATATTTTTTTATTAGTTTAAGGTAATTAAAACTAATTTCTACTTGAAAGCTTCTCAAACATTCTTGCACAAGTAGTGTTTGAACCCAAATAATTGAGATCACTTAATTCATGCATAACTAAAATCATATTATGTTAAATTGAAGTAGATAGATTAATCTCAACTTTTTAATTTAATGGAGGAATCAAAATCATAATTAGATATGTGTATTCAAATATTAACATTATTACATGTTTTATATTTAAAATTCATGTGAATTAAATACATCAGATATCTATTATCCGAATGCAAGTTACTTTTTGAATGAAAATTGTAAATTCTAGTATTCAAATTCAACTTTAGAATCTGAATTATAAAATTTACTTTAATGGGACTTGAACTTTGATCATTCAAATAAGAGTCGTGTTATAAAATAGAACTCAAATAACTCAAAACTTTTAATATATAATGAATTGATATTTTAAATTTGAGTCGAGTCATTAAACTTTGCACGATATATGTATATCATATATATATATATATTGTATATGGTTAGAAAAATTTGTTTAAATTAGAATTAAATAGTATTGTAACATTATAAATAATTACAATTAAATTTAAACATAAACTCAAACAACTTGAATTAACTCGAATTTTATAAAATCAACTAAATTCAAAAAAAAATTGAGCAGTAAGATAAAATTTATCGACTCAAATAATTTAAATTTTTTACTCAAATCAACTTGATCGAATGCTCGCCTCTGTACATGATTTTACTTAATTTGAAATGCAATAATTACGGCTTAGCATACGCGGGTCAACAAAGCCCAGCCCACGAGGCTCTAAAAAGAAACCAAATCTGTGGGCAATATTTATATTATTTAAAGTTTCTAAACCAATCAGTTTCCCTAATCTTAATTAATGTCAAATACCTTGTCTGAACAAAGACAATACTGAAAGTATTAATGGACTGAAAAAGGTTTTAAGCGTGATCACATCGTTCAGAAATTTAAATTTTTATTTAGTTTATATTTTATTGATAGTTAAAATTTATGTATCTTAAAATTTGTAATAATATTTTAATACAACTTATTAAAAATCGTACTTTTAATATAAAATGTTAATCTGTACTTAATTGAAAGTTTTGGTTTTTGGACTCGTGCCTTAATGATGGTGCCGAGTTTTCAATGTGATTGCCGCGTTGACATGGTTATATTTATTTGTCCAGTTCACATTGTTTTGTTTTATTTATGGGACCTCTTTTTCAAGTCAGAAAGAATCGGCTAATTGAGTTAATGATATACGTACAATCCTCGTTTTTTCTGATATATTTTAAATCATTTTTATATATCTACATCTTAAACTATTGTTTCATTTAAATCTTACTCAAAAATAAACTTTGATATTCTTCTAGATTTTCTCGTATTTTTTTGTGTTTTATGATACATACTTGAGTTATGTTATTTTAATTTATTAAATTAGTTTATCCATTTTTTTGAAACTGAAAAATGATTTTGTTTTTTCATGCAACACATTTTTTAGGGTTAGATTTATCATAACATATTCAAATTTTCAATTGATATTTATTTACTTATCTTGCTTATTTATTCATGTTTGGTATTATTAACTAACTCTCTCATTTTGATAAGCATTCGTAATTATCCCAAATAAATCACACTTGACTCGTGATATAATAAATTTTCCATGTATATATAATATAGAACTACGAAATCAATTATGATTAAATTGATGTTTTAATCTTTTAATTTTTTCGAGTTATATTATAAGAAAAAATTTAACACCTTTTTTTACAATCTCATTTCATGAGTTAGTGATTAGTTTGTGCCTTGGGATGATTTAGGAAAAATTATAATCTTACGTTATTAGTTTGCCTTATCTATTGTAGAATTTTAAGATCGCGATTTTATTATTTTTATTTAATAAAATTAATTAGTATTAGTTAAAATACATCAACAAGATATAACATGTCACACGTTATTATCGAACATTAATTATTTTTGGGCAAAATGATACATAAAGTATAAACTGAGAAAAAAATATATTAAAGTGTAAAATAATATATATTTTTAAAAGGAAAAATCATAAAACAATTGTGACACCGACAAATAGTGTTAGGCCAAAGACAGCTAAGAGATTACCAAAACATAAAGCAATTGGCCCACATGCATTACCACGTTGCCTTTGCTTTTCTACCTGAATTTATCTCCGTACGACATACATATTCATACTCCTTTGCTCATTGCAGAAGCAATTGTGTGTATCCATTGCATCACCATATTACATTTACAAGCATTTTTATTTTGTTTAATTTTATTATATTATATATTGAACCACAAGCATCATGTATTATATTTTGAAACAGACGTAAGATTTTTGTTATTGTTAGGAGTATGGTGTACAAATTTTTATGATGCTATATTAGAAATTTATAGTAAAAATACAAAATTTTAGTATATAAATCATATCATCAATAAAGAATATATATATATATATATATATATATATGAAGATTTACAATTTTCAATTAATATGATTATGGACCTGCATGGATCAGATCAAATCGAAATTTTGGTCGACCTTAACCCAACTCGATCATTCTACGTAGCTATCAACCCATCACCTGACTTAACACAAGTTTAGGATGCTCAATCTGACCCAAAACATGAACCGATTTATAATATTGTCGGAACCGTCTTTCGGTTGGGCCTGGAATCGGGCTTCGACTGGAATTGATTGGGTTAGAGTCGCCACCGACCACTTTAAAATGAATTTAGGTGGGTCGGATACCATCTTACCTGATCTGCGTTGTACCAGAAACATGTCGAGTTCGGGAGTCGGTTACGGTTAAGGAAGGATTAGCACCCTTGAACCGCCCTTTCGGTACCAATTAATTTGTTGGTTGCCTTTAATTGCGAATATTAAAAATTTAAATTAAAATTTATAAATCCGATTCGAATTACTTACCCTTTGATCAGTTGGAATTACGACTGAAAGAATATGTTAGATAAAAATGTTAGATGATAAATAAAAATATCGAGTAAAAATTAACTAAATAATAAGGGGAAAAATAAAATAAATAAAATATAAAAGAAATGAAAAAAAAGGCTAAGGTTTGAAATTAAAAAATGTTAAGAAGATAAAATAAAAATTAAAAAAAGTAAATAAATAAATAAAAGGGCCAAAATGAATTAAATTGGACTTTGTGGACTGAAATTGATACTAAAAAATGAACTGCAAAAAAACAAATCTAGAGGGTTAATTCACAAAGTATAAACAGAGACCAAATTGAAAGAAATAAAAACATAACTCCAAAACTACAAATTAGGAACTCTTAAATGACTTGTGTTCTAATTAACCCAAAAATTATATTAAACTAAATAAAACCCTTGATTCTCACGTGAATTCATTTGGCCTTTTGTTCTTTCTTTTCATTTTCAGACACCAAATTCTTATCATGAACTTTTGATGGAAATGACGTAAAGCAAAGCAAAAAAAAAAAAACTTAGATCACAGTCATACATTCTCACTAAAAAGCTGAAATATTTTATGAATTGAAACAACAGCATTGAAGCAGTAAATATAAAAGAACAATCCTCCTCAATTCAAGCACTCGGTATCAAAGGGCATCACAGGCATTTGTCTATGAGGGGAGATTAGAGAATTACCCAATTATGAAGCAAATAGACAAAGTAATCAATCATCTCCGCTGAGGACTCGAACTTTTTTCGACCAAGCCGTATAGGACCCGACTCGGGTAAGTCCGACTTGTTCTCAAGAATTTCGTCCTCTACGGACTTTTCCAGCTTCTATATTTTGGATGCATTGTCGGTTTCTTCGCCATCTTCTTCTCTCGCGCGCTTGAATTTGGAGTCCCCGTTGGCGTCGGCCTTGGCATTGGGGTTTTGGTCGGATGAATTGATGGTTTCAAGATCTATGTCTTCAATTGGTGGGTGGGCTCCGACGATGGCTCTTTCTCTGCCATTGAAGAATGCTAAAATCTTCAACCCTAAAAGGTTTAGAGACAGTGAAGCATTTTTCTGGTTTTCCATGGGATTTTGAAGCACTTTTCTTCCGCCAGCCCCCAAGAGAGTTGAGCCCACCCTCCCCTTTTATAATGTGTGCAAGGACTATAAATGGAGAATAATTGATGGAATCCAGAGTGAAGCGGGAAAAATGGCAGCAGTTTTAGTTAGTGGGGTAGTGGTATAGTTGTGATACGTGGGGTTAAACATGGTTGTTGGGTATTGATTGAGTGAGTGAGGTAACAGTGGGGTAGTATATGGGACCTATAAAAGAAATAATAATAATAATAAAATAAATAATACAATAAAATATTTTAATAGACCCGGACAAAAATGGGTGTCTACAAATATAAAAACTCGACCCGACACATATATAGAGTTATATTTTTGTTAGATAAAATAGGGAAATAATTGGAAAATATAAAGAGAGTAATATTTTTTCTGGTCGAGGATTTCAAACCTAAATTCAAATTGACCCGCCTCAAATCTATTTTTTTATTATTAAAAAATGATCTTGTATGTTTGAATCATATCAAAATCGATCAAAACTAAATCTCATATATGCCTTTAAATGCTACAAACTCGACACCTCTCAGTCCATCCCCAATTATATATATCAAAACTGGGATTGGTCTTGTGCTTATAAAACATCATTTAGGTGAGCTGATAAATCATATCTAACTTATAATAAGAATAAATAAGTGAATAAAGTATATAAATAGTCTCACGACTATATGATACTACTTTGTTGAGTCCCCTAGTTATTAAAAGTTACAAATGATCCACCGATTATAGGGAGTTGTTTTGTTGAGTCTCTCGACTATTAAAAGTTACAAAATAATCACTCGACTATTCATTATTTTCAAAACTTGTTATTTTCTATTAAGAAATTAACGGTCATCGGAGTTTTACATTAACATGCTGACTGAGATATGATAGTCCTTTGAGATTATGAGATCATAATTTATCATATATCGGTCATCATATTAACGTACAACTCAAACGACCATTAATTTTTAATTGGAAAAGGATGAGTTCGGAATATAATAAATAGTTGGATGACTATTTAGTAACTTTTAATAGTCGAGGAACTCAACAAAGCAACTCTTTATAGTCCATAAATCATTTTTGTAACTTTTAATAGTCGAAATACTCAACAAAATAATATTTTATAGTTAGGGGACCATTTGTGTACTTTGCCTTAAATAAAATAATAATAATAGGATTTTAAAACAAAAAATGTGATTATTTTTTTGTTTAAAAAAATATGATTAATGTTGTTAGAACAATTTTTTTATATAAGCTAAAAGTGATTACAAAGTATTATTTGTTCTGAATACTCTAAAACATATAAAGAACAATGTATATTTTAGACTTAAACTTTCCATCATTACATACTTTGTCTAAACAATGATATATCATACATTACCTTATTTCTTAAGTTGATTCAGATTTCAATTTATTTATATTTATCATTATTGTTCAAAATCATAAAATAATATTTTTAAATATAATTATTGATATTCAATTTATTAACTAACTAATCTCAGTTAAAAAGATAATTTAACTATATAACCTTTAATATTATCTTATTGAAAATTCAATTCAAATAAAATAACAACCCTATTCATATTTGATATACTAATCAATTAATTTTAATTTTAGCATGACAATTGTTGATTATTTTTCACTAATATAAAAAAGAATAATGTTCGGGCCGTGGCCAGTAGCCCATTTTTGGAGCCCGTCAAGATTTCTTACTAAGTAAATACCAAAAAATATGAAAATTAAAACATTTTCTCAAGAATGAGATTAGAACCGATGCCCTTTCGAGGAAACTGGCGCCTTTGTCTGATGTTTTTCATGTACTTTTATATATTCAATGTATTGTTTTTTAGAGGTTTAAATGTATAAAACTACGCTATTTTATTTGAAAATATTAGTTCTTTCACTAATTTTTTATTTATTTTGTTATTAATTATTGATTTAATAATTATTAAAAATAAAATAATTTTTATTTGTTTACATTTACATTTTTTACAATTTAACTCTTAGTCTTTGAAAATATATTTAAAAAAGTACGAATTAAGTGACCTCAATAGTTAAGAGATTGTTGTTATCCCTTGAGACTCCGATTTTAAACACATGTTTATAGGAGTGTACAAACGTTTATTGTCAAAATTTTTACACAGTATATGTTGATCCTAATCCCTTTTAACAATTTAGATACATATTTTTATATTTTTTCATGAATAAGAATAAAACAACTTAAGTTAATGTTCTTTAAAAGTAAAATAATTAATTTTTATTTAATAAAATTATTATCCTTATCAGTTAATCCAATTCGATAAAAATTAAAAGTCTGAAAACTAAAATATAAAAAAGTATAAATTAAAATAGTTTATTTTTAAGGTTTGAGGGGGGAAATATTAGGTCCATAATAATTAAAAACAACAACAACAACTTCCAAGTCATATGGATAATTAATCCAAAAAATGGGTACCCATAGTTGTGAGAGAAATGCAAACGACGTCGTAACAAGCATCTAAAGTAGAAAAAACCCTCTTATCTCTAACTTTCCCTACTCATCCAATCTAAGTAGCCTCTGCGCCAGTGCGCCTCTCTCTAAGCTCCCGCGAAACCCTAATAATGGCGATCGACAAAATCGAACCTAGCAAGCTCCGTTGGGGAGAGCTAGAGGAAGACGACGATCTCGACTTCTTGTTACCACCCAAGGAAGTTATTGGCCCTGATGAAAACGGAATAAAAAAGGTGATCGAATACAAGTTTAACGAAGAAGGTAATAAGGTCAAAATAACGACGACGACCCGAGTCCGAAAACTGGCGAAGGCCCGTATGAGTAAGCGGGCGTTGGAGAGGAGGAATTGGGAGAAGTTCGGTGATGCGGTACGTGAAGATGTTGGGAGTCGTCTCACTATGGTTTCAACTGAAGAGATCCTTCTTGAACGGCCCAGAGCCCCTGGTTCGATTCTAATTACTTTTTTTAATCAAATTTAATTGGTTTTGTGTGGTTAATTTTAGATTTGATGAAATTGAATATATAATGTTTGAAGTGGTAGATATATGATTGATTGTTGTTAAATTTCTCATATCCGGGTTTGATTATTGCTAAATTTCTCATATCCGGGTTTGATTATTGTTTAAATTATTATGTATTGGATTGATTGTTGTGAATTTTATTTTATTTAAGTTTGATTGTTGTTAAATTGCTTCTATTTGGATTTGATTATTGTTAAATTGCATTTGGATATTAATTACTTAAGGATAATTTCATTGGCTAAAGAAAATTGTGATTAACTTGTGGAACAATTTAGTTAGAATTGGTGTTGAGCAAGTATCATTCTTGAAGAATTAAAAGCCAGAATTGCGACCATTCAGTGCAGTGGGTTAAAACGACTTGATTTGAATCGTTTGGTTATGGTGGTCAATTAGCCAGTTACATATTGGCCGTTGTGGCTGTTGATTTGTGTGAATGGTCAGTAAGCCACCTATAGCTGTTGTTCTTGGCCTTTCTACACGGTGAAATGAAACTCTACATTTTTCACTTTTTGAGCCATTAACTACATTTGTTGCCAAAATTTCACCCGTATTTTTTGTTCAATCACTTGGTTGTTTGTTTAAAATTTAATGCTTGTACATTTCGTTTTGGTTTTGTATTTCATTAGAATGCGGTGGTTGGTTTTTCCAATCATGTAGTATTCAAATTTCAAATGGCCGATGTTTAATGTGGAATGGTCATGGGCTGCCGATTGCATCTTTGATTGTTGAATTGTGATAAGAAATTGATTTCATTCTAAGGCCATTAACAACATCCAAGAAACATTTGTTTTCTAAAATCTGCGAGTTCGTTTGTATCTATGATTATGGAACAAGAACTTGCAAAAAATTGGGTCTTTGTCCCTTGTTCGGTTTTTGGATGTAAAAACCTTTGGAATATTGAATTGTTTACAGGTACCAAACAGGAAGAAATGAAGGTTGCAGGGGACAGCTTGGCTCAGCTTAGCAAAGGAGGTGCCGTGCTTATGGTGTGCCGTACGTGTGGCAAGAAAGGTGATCACTGGACTTCCAAATGTCCTTACAAGGATCTTGCTGCTCCAGTCGAAACCTTTGTTGAGAAACCTGCAGCATCTGAGGCCTCGGTGGCTGCTCCTGGAGCTGGAAAGGGAGCCTACGTCCCACCAAGCATGAGAGCAGGTGCGGAGAGAACCACTGGATCGGATATGAGACGTAGGAATGATGAAAACTCAGTGAGGGTAACCAACTTATCTGAGGACACCCGGGAGCCTGACTTGCATGAGCTTTTCCGACCATTCGGTGCCGTGACTCGTGTGTATGTCGCAATGGATCAAAAGACGGGCACAAGCAGAGGGTTCGGTTTCGTGAACTTTGTGAACAGAGAGGACGCCCAGAGAGCTATCAACAAGTTGAACGGATATGGTTACGACAATCTCATCCTTAGAGTTGAGTGGGCGACTCCAAGAACAAACTAGAAAGATTATCATCCTTAGAGAGGACGCCCAGAGAGCTATCAACAAGTTGAACGGATACGGTTACGACAATCTCATCCTTAGAGTTGAGTGGGCGACTCCAAGAACAAACTAGAAAGATTATCATTTTCATGGGGTTTAGCGTGTTCTCTCTAACGTTGTCAACTGTCTGAAAGTGCAGATTTTGGCCGTTTTCCCCGTTTTATTTTCTTTTAAGTTTATGTTCATGCATGACTTTGTGCTTTAATTGAGATTTTATTAATTTTAGTTGAATTCCTGGTTTCGGGATAGTTTTTGTGTAATATTATTGTTTTACGCTGATTGATAAGTTTTGGAAGTGACTGGTTCAATCTGCCAAATTTGATTACTCGAAGTGATTTATTCGATTTGAGATTGATACATATTTGAATAAACTAGTCTAAATCTAACTAAATTGATTTGAATTTTAGTTGGGCTGATATGGGTTCGTATCCGAATTTTTTTTTACATAGTGTATCTAAAAGGAAAAGAAATTGTTTTTGTTAAAAGCGAAAAAGAAGAATATATTTTTATCTTTTTGTTAGAGTATTTTGATTTTCATTGATTTATTAATTTATGTTTTCTAATTTTTTAATAAGATTGAACTATTAACTAATCCAATTGAATCAATAGGTCAATCAATATAAACTAATTCGCAGCCTCGAATTACATAAACACCTCCTATCCCATTTGAATTCGGTTCGGGTTAACAAGTGGAGTTCCCATCACAGTCCGCTTGGGTATCGCATATCGGTTCAGGTGGCGAAACCTACTGGAATTCCATCCCCGGTTTAGGCCACCGGTTCTCCCTAGCCCGAATGGCATACGCCGTCGCACTTCCGCCGGCTTTGAACGTACAACAGATCGGCGCCGCCTCACAAGCTGTCGTTCTCGAACTCTCGTTGACGTACACTTGGCACAATCCCGTAGCGGAACAGTCCAACGGGGAACGGAGGATCGAGTCCGTACAGTTCAAGAACATGATGGTTTTGCTGCTGGTAATGTTGAAAGGTAAACTGCTGTTGAGCTGCACGCCATTGAAGGAGAGGTCGGTCGTGATGCACCTGTTCGGCACGAGACCCGCCGGCTGGATCACTATCCGTTGATTTAAAGGATCGATGGACGTGATTGGAAAGGAATTGTTGAGAGTGTCGAAGATCAGTGAGCCCGCGTCGCAGCGGATTTTGTAGTTCTGGTCGCCGCAGGTGGGACCGGTTGACAGAGGGTAAGGGACGGCGGTGGAACCGCAGTCAGGACAACGGTTGACGGCGAGCGTTAAGCCCACAGTGCACGTTAGCAGAAAAAGCGCTGTTGAAAGGAGCTTAAACGTTACCGCCATTTTTGTTGGTGTTGATTGAATTGAAAGGGATACGTCTATGTTTTTAAATGTGTTGGGTTTCGTAGGTATATTTGTAAATACTGGTATCGTTAAGGTTAATTCTGGAGATTTACGTAAGTTTCCTAAACATTTAGGAATAAAGTACATAAGAGGTTATTAAATTTTATTCAAATGATTATTTTAACCATTAAAATTTTAAAAGTTACAAATTGGTCAATAAATTTATATAATTGTTACAAAATATCCATTAAAAACTTATTAATAATAGAGTGACTCGTGGTAGAAGTTTTCCAATTGATATCAAGGGATGAGGATTGAATTAAAAACAACTTATTTCCAATTATGGAATAAAACCCATAGAATCTGTTTATATAAATAAATTTCTTAGCATACATATATATTTAGATTTTCCGTTTAATTAATGATAATATGAGATTAGAAAATTCACTCTAACCTAGTAGCTTTCACGTTTGGGGAGAATGTAAACTAAAATTATTTAATACAAGATTAAACACAACATAAATCAGTTGCAACTTAAAATATTACCATAAGTATAATATTTTAAGTTGAATGAATAACATTTTAGGTTAAACTCGAAAATATTATTTTATTCCTAACATTTTTTTTGTTGTAATCGAAAATATTACAAATTGTACAACTTTTCCGGTTCTAATGAGACCAGAACCTCAAGAAAAAAATAACATCTTTAATTATTAAGACCACTTAATCAATTCTTCCATTTCACTTTTAGAAGAGAGAAAAAGAAATTACTTTCCTTAAAATGAAAATACAAATATAGTTAAGCTCATTTCAATTCATAATTTTCTAATTATTACATTAATAATAACATCAATTAAATTAAAATAACAAAATTTAAATAGTATAATTATATATAAAGATAATCATTTATATGAATTTGATACATTCTAATTTTATATAATTTAATAAGATCAATTCTTTTTAATTCGAGTTCATATATTTGGAGAAAGATGAAATCAAACTAGATTTTATTCACATTTAAATTATTTTTTTAATCTAATATGAAATAATTGTATAATTATCCTATATATATATATATATATATATATATATATAAATAAATATTATAATACTCACCTTTTCATATTATTTCTATTAGATTTTTATTTTTCTAAATAATTTTTCCTTTATATATATATATATATATATTAAATGAGTTGAAATAATTACAATATAATATTTGTTCATAATGTTTATGAGCACCCTATATATGCAATACTTAGAAATCAAACCAAAAATCTTTAGAAATAATACATTTATTTTTATCACTAATTTCATTCAATAATTTAAAATTCAAATCTTATGTTAAACTAATTCGAATTCAATTTTTATTCCAAAATAAGTTAAACTCAACGCAAATAAAACCTTAAATCTAAATTGAAATGGATGGATAAAATATATTTCAACCCATGATTATTCCTAAAGTAATAATTGGATGGATAAAATGTGGAGGTATTATTTTATTAGCTATATCCTTTTGAAACAACGAGCACAGTTGAAATAAATCCATGTTCCACGAAATAGTAGAATTTTTAAAATTTTAGAAAAATAAAAAATATATAATAATCCTGAACAAAACAGCTCAAACTACCATTTTTCTTCTTTTGATTCCCCTAAAAATCAAATCCCCAACCAATTTATCACCACCCTTTTTATCTTTTGCGGGTAACATTACACCATGCATTGCATGGTCCAAGCATCTTAATTTTTTTTTTTAAACAAGATTGAATTGTCAAACTAAATCAATAGAATCGATAATCCAATCAATTTAATCTTCTGTTTTATATAATTTTAAATATTAGAATATCATGCATCTCACATTCGTATCCGAATAATGACCTAAACTCAGATTTACAAAACCATCAAATTCTTAAAGATGGGTACTATTTCCCAGCATTATGTTGCCCCCATTAACGGGGGAACCATCTAGCAACAAATCAGTTCCATATTTCTCAAATACAAACCCTAAACTCCTTTAACCAAACTTTAAAATGTTCCCAGAGAGAAGAAAGAGAGTAAATAAAACTACAGATATAAATGAGCAACCAGTCATTTATCTTTTTAATTTTACTATATTTCTACTTGCCTGGCTGAAAATCCTGTTTGGTTTCCGGGAAAGTGAAACTCAAATCTGGATCACCGGTTGCTGTCCGAGCTGGCATCGGACAAAGTGTTTACTGAATCTGCTTCAACATAGGTAGGTTTCTGGTAGTGAAATGAGAAATCATCCTGGAGAAACTCTCGATATATGAGGGAAAACATTACATAAAGAACTAATGATAATCCAGTTTGAATTTATATATATGAAAGCTACAAATATACACAATGGACGACCTACTAATATTTTACATCTCCATTGTAAAAGTCATCCTAGTCATGGTGAACCTCAGTCAAGAAAGAATCGGAACATGCATACAAGTATGTATATATACAAATAACTTAGATAATGCATCGACTTTTAAGAACTGCTAACCTAACAAAACTGTTCCGAGGCCTGGGTCAAGATACTCAGGTAGGTGACTCCACTAGAAGCAAGGTATGCCACCATCCGCATGCGACGTTTTTTGGGCAGCAACCCTTGATGGTAACTTGAGATGGAATATTGCGATCAATCACGTCACCAAGGCCGAGCTGTTTCAGACATCAAGAACTTAGGATTTTAGTTCGAGTGAAGAGAAGAAGCAAAACTACCAATTATCCTACTTTGAGGAACTAGATACATAAATGAGTGCGTAAAATCTCTAGGATTCTCCCCTAAAATACAGATTTAAAAGAAAATCGATTTGATATCGAAGAACACTGTTATAAAATCGAGCTGCCAGCTAGTTTGATCATTGAACAGTGTGAGCATGATACCTGGCCATACTTGTTCCATCCCCAGCAGAATACTTTGCTATCCTCTTCAAACAACCAAAGCTCAGCGTCAACAGGCAGAAAAAAAAGAAACGTGAAGAATCCAAAAGTGCATGGCCAGCATACCTGTGAGTACAGCACTGTGGCGAGCTCCACATGAGACAACTTTTACATGCGTATTTTCCAAACTCGGATCATCCAAGAGCCTCGGGAGAGTCTGATTTTTGAAATTCAAACAATAAGGCTAATGCAGAAACTTTCTTGCGCTCGGGAGAAAAGGTAACTTGAGGAAAACATGGAATTCAAAGAATTGAAACTCGGTGCATACCTCGGCCTGATCACCTCCGGTTCCCAACTGCCCGAACTGATTCCCACCAAACGCATACACATCACCATCAGCTGACACGCAAACTGTGTGCCACAGTCCTGCAGCAACCGAGTCTATCCTGATGCCCATTAAGGAAGATACACAGGTTGGGCTTAATTCATCATCTGTACTTCCTTGTCCACACTTGAAAACACAATAAAATAAAATAGAAATTAACTCCTATATCACAACCCTTGAGTACAGAATAACCATTTTATCTAGCAGAGGAGAGATGAATATAGGAAAAGGAATTGAGAAGATTATGGAATTGAGAAGATTATCCCTTATTAGATTGAACTTCATCTTCAACTTTACTGAGCTTTTTTCTCCACCAATTTCTACTTTACCTACATACCCATCCAGAAGAATAGTTAATTTGAGAAATTCCAATCACTTTCACGGATGGATATAAGGATTGAAACACTGAACATGCCAGTTCAAGAAGTGGACTATGTTTGAATGAATGGAGGCCATAATTTTTTTTTGATAGGAATTGTAGGCCTCATTAAAAACCCCCTTCTTGAATAAGGAACTTATAATGAGTTCCTTCATCAGAGGAAGGAGGAAAAGAGTGCCTTAAACTTCATTAATGAAAATACATAAGATTACAACAAGAAGATAAGCCCCTTACAACAATTTGAAAATCCCAACATAAAATACCCCTAAGACACACTGGAATTAGCCAATGGCGGATTTAGCCAACCCATCAGCCTCAATATTGGCTGTCCGAGCAACCCATCTAATAACACCCTCAACTTCTTTTAGTTTAATTGTTATGTTCCTTACAAGAATGACAAAAATCTGAGGGCAGAAAGTTCCATTCTTAACCCAATCCACTGCCAATTTGCAGTCTGATTCTAACAACAAACGACCATTAATACCTCCTTTCACTGAATCAAAGAAAATTAAGCCCTTCTGAATAGCCCTTAGCTCCATCATAATAGGTGGACCTGGACTCGTGGCCTCCTTAAAAGATCCTAGAATAAGACCTTCCTCATCTCTTAGAATACCCGCAACTCCACTGCTGTTCCAATCAGAATTTGTAGCTGCATCCACATTCAATTTTACAAAGCCCTTAAGAGGGGGGACCAAGGAATTGTAGTAACAATCGATTTGTTGAGAGGAAAGCATGAATCCCCAAGAGAAGGGTCCCCGATTAGAGAATCCATTGAAATAACAGAATCTGCAAACTTAGCTGAGAACCAAGATGCAAGTCGTACTCTTGCTAGGAAAAATAGATTAAGATGGTCAAACTTCCCTCTATCAAAAACAATATCATTTCTTACTTTCCAAACAGTCCAAATAACAACGGCAGGAATGAACTTCCAAATAGCAGACCTAGGATTTAGATCTTCCCAAGCTTGAAGAAACTTCTGCGCATTTGTATGAAAAACCACAGAAAGACTCCAATACTGCACAAATTTGTTCCAAAGTGACCACACAACTAAACACGAGAAAAATAAATGAGAAGAAGATTCAACCTCCAAATTACATAGAGGACAAGAAAGATCTGTTATACCCGTAACCCCTCTCTTAACCAGTTCAGACCTCACTGGCAGTTTTTGAAGAACTACCTGCCACATGAATACCTAGACTCTTGGTGGCACCAGACCTTTCCACACAAATTTCTTCCAAACATAATCCTCCTTCTGAGCCAAAGAACAAGTCTTCACACATGAATTAGCAGAATAGACACCAGTTCCGTTTCCTTTCCAAATCAGACCATCGATTGCCTCTTTAGACAGACAAAAATTAGAAATGATAGCCATCAGGTTAGCCCACTGTTCAAATTCCCAATCGGCTAAGCTTCTCCTCAACTGAATATTCCAGATCCATCCCAAAGAACTGAACTCGCCAAATTCAATCAGTTTTCCAAACTGGTTTGTAGAGATTGCGAATAGCCTCGGAAAAGAAACCTTAAGAGGGCAGTCCATTGCCCATTTGTCCTGCCAAAACTGAATAAATTGACCATTCCCAACTCCTAGCCTGAACATGCTGCGGAAATAGCAACCAAAAGAGTCTTCTTTAAAATAAGAATTCACCACCGAGCTCCAAATCCAAGAAGCTTGAGCTGGGATTTTGCTATTGAACAATAAAGAAAAAGGATCAATATTGTATTTTGAACAGATCATTCTCCTCCAAACAGCATCCTTGTCATTAGCAAATCTCCAAGACCATTTCCCCAATAGTGCTCTGTTCATATTGCTAATATTTAACACTCCTAAACCACCAACCTCCTTTGGCTTGCACACGTTAAGCCAACTAACCAAATGAATCTTATTTTTCTCCGCTCCACCTCCCCATAAGAACTTAGACATGATTGAGTTGAGTTTAGAAGTTACGGATGATGGAATTTTGAATATAAACAAGTAGTAAGTAGGAAGAGAACAGAGAACCGATTTAATCAAAACTAATCTCCCTGCCAAGGAAAGGGTGGCAGCTTTCCAACATGCTAGTTTGTTGTTAAATTTTGAAACAACCGGATCCCAAAGAGAGGTTGAATTCCGTGTTGCACCAAGCGGCAGACCTAGATAATCAGAAGGAAATTTCCCCACTGCACAGCCAATAGACGACGCCCACTCCTCCACCTCCTATGTAGCCGTATTAACACCAAATAACTTGCTTTTCTTAAGATTCAACTGCAGACCAGACATAACTTCAAACACTCTTAAGACCCTTTTAACATTTGAAATCTCCATTTTCGAAGCCCCACAGAAAATAATTAGGTCGTCTGCAAATTGCAGATGAGATAAGTTGAAAGCAGTCTCATTCCTCCCAATATGCAGACCAGAAAACAATCCATCAGAGACAGCCTTTAAGAGCAAGACATTTAGGAGTTCCCCAACTAAGTTAAAAAGCAAGGGCGAAAGAGAACAGCCCTGGCGGAGACCCCTTGCCATAGGAAATTCCTGAGAAGGTACCCCATTTATCAAAACTGAAATAGAAGCAGTAGTAACACATTGTTTTATCCAACTTCTCCATTTAGAACCGAAACCCATTTTCTCCATAACCTTAAAAAGAATAGACCAATCCACAGTGTCGTATGCCCTTCTAAAATCCACTTTAAACACACATCCTTTGAGTCCCTTTTTCCTCCAAAAATCAATCCCCTCATTGGCTATAAGAGAACAATCCAGAATTTGACGACCTGGAATGAAAGCAAACTGCATAGGGCTCATTACATCAGAAATGCAATTCCTTAATCTCCTCGAAAGACATTTTGAGAGGATCTTGTACAAACCTCCTACAAGGCTTATAGGTCTATAGTCATCTAATCCACCAATATTGGCCACCTTGGGGATAAGAGTAATGAAAGTATGATTTACTCCATGTTCCCAATCTTTCCCTAAATAAAAGTTATGAAAGAATTTCAGAATATCAACCTTAAGAACAACCCAAAATTTCTTGAAGAAGCCCATATTAAAACCATCCGGGCCGAGAGCTTTGTTGCTATCACATGATTGTAGAGTCTCCCATATTTCTTCCTCCGTGAATTCTTTTTCCAGAATATTACTTTGCTCCACTGAAATTTTTGAAAAATTCATCTTCATATCTTCTACTTCCAAAGTAGAACTAGAGTTGTAAATTCCAAAAAAATGATCTTTGACACAAGCTTTGACGACAGATGGATCTTGAGTTATCTCTCCATTGACATTCAAAGCATTCATGGAATTCCTCTTTCTCCTAATCAACGCACAAGTATGAAAAAATCTTGTATTGCGGTCCCCTTCTTCCACCCATCTAGCTCTCGATTTTTGAAACCATATTTGTTCTTCAATCTTATACAACCTCCATAATTCTGATCTCGTATTGTTCAAATCTGATCCTGTGTCCCAAACATATGTACCTTGCCTCTGCTGCAAGTTCACCTCTTCCAAGTGAATCCTCTTTTCTAAATCTGTAATCTCTACAGAAGGAAAATGGTCTCTCTTCCCCGCCCATTGTTTGATCGACAGTTTAGTAGATTTCAGGATAGATAGAATTCCTGCTTTCCTCTGATCAGACTTGTATTCTTTAACAGTAGACTCAACTAAATTCTGGAAACCGTCATCTTCCATCAAATAATTAAAGAGTTTGAAAGGTTTCTTCCCCCAACTGACCCCCTCATTCTCCAGAAAAACAGCATTATGATCTGACACTGACCTTGGCAACAAGTATTGTGTAACATCAGGAAATGCTTCTAGGAAATGAACATCAACGAGGAACATGTCCAATCTAACATAGGTGGGTAAATCCTGGTTGTTACACCAAGTGAATATGCTCCCATGTAAAGGTAAATCAATTAACGCTGTATGTTGCAGAAATTGGCTGAAAATTCTTATTGAACTTCTGTTTGGAGCTCTCCCCACCTTCTCTTCTTCAGAAAGATGCACATTAAAATCACCTCCCACACATAAAGGGATATTCAGTCCACAAATAAAAACAGCTAACCCTTTAAAGAAGCTTGCTTTCTCTTCTTCAATACTAGGCCCATAAACATTAATAAAACCACACCTAAACTGTGAAGTTCGAAACTTTCCAAAAACTGCAATAAACCTTATGTTTATAATAAGGTTGTCAACTTCAAAAGAGCACTCATCCCAGCAACTCAATAGCCCTCCAGAAGAACCCACTGCTGGAGATTCTGCAAAACCTTGAAGAGTATTCAAACCACTTCTCCTTAGAAATTGTCTCTGAACCTTCTCCACTTTTGTTTCTTGCAATAGAAGAAGAATAGGACGTCTCTTTAAAACTAGATTTTGAACAGCTCTGTGTTTTTCCTTCCTTCCCAAACCCCTAACGTTCCACGTAATAATGGCTAATTGAAATTTCATCATGATTCAAATAAGTATTAGAAAACCCAATAAACACCGAAAATCAAACCAGCCTCAAATCCTCCTCCAACTTTATGATTTTCTCCAAAAAAGCTGATTTCCCACCCTTGAAAGACACACCCAATTTATTACTGATTTCCCAAGTAGCTATAGCTTCCTCCAAAAGAACAACAAAATCTGAAGAAGAAACTGTTTCAATGCTAACTTGATCCAATGCCAATCTGGTCAACAATCTTTTGGCTCTTCTATTAAAGGACTTAGAGTTAAAGGAATAACTATCTCCTTCTAAGTGCCACCCTTCCCACATACTATCCAAACTGCTGTCAACAACCTGTCTCTCCAAAGTAGACCCCATACAGCCTTCCAAATTAGGTTCTGCAACTGCACTGATTAGCAGAACTGAATTAGGATCCAAAATCTTCCCATTTAGCCTCTCTAGAGATTTCTCTTCTCGAGGAACAACAATTTCATCTTTCTCTAACCAATGTCTTCTCTCCCTGGATCTCTTGTAGACCCTTTTGAAGCTAATACTTCTCTTTTCCAACGGTTCACTCTTTGTAGTCAATGGAGAGTTGGATCGATCAAGCGTTCTTCCCCTGGAAATCTTACTTCCAGAACATAAAATGTAGTCAATCGGCTTTTCCTCTAAATTTGATTCCAATCCTCTAGAACACTTTCTCAAACCAGAAAGTGGCAGACCTCCATTTTTATCTTCCTTTGAGTTTGCAGATTCAACCAGAAACTGCTTCTGGTCCATTTTCCCAAATTTATCCAGCTTAACACCAGGCCCAGCTGGAATAATTTTTAGAGGTGGAGAACCAAGTTGCCCATTATCTGATGATTGGGCTATAGACCCATCAGCCGAAAAATTTGAAAATCTACATCCCAAACCCGCGTATTCACCAAAATTGTTAGTCCCAAGATCCTGACACGCTGTCAGCACACAATTAATGCCTTTCCCAACTTTGTTAAACGTTGGGAGTTGAATTTCCTCACCAACTCCAACCAAACCCGTGTTAGCTCCTTGGTCAAACCAAATATCTACCTTTTGTCTGCTGTTTTCTTCTGAACGTTCAGCACTTTCCATGCTATCTGACAGACTACTGTCAACCTTGTCTCCAGAAAATTCCTCACCAAATTGTCTATCGTCGGAACCTCCCACCGGCGACTTGTTAAAGGAAACGGAAGAATACTCAAGCACCGAACCCAGCTTAATCTTAACTTTGAACGATCTTCCATAGGATCCAATAGTTATCTCCTCAGGGACGTCATAAGGGCTGGCCACTCTAACCAAAATCTTCACCATCGATAGGTCTGCTCTGATAACTGTATCTTCATGAATCTCTTCCACCAATCCCCACTTTCCTGCTACCCGTTCCAAAAAGGAATTTTGCCAACATAACAATGGAACCCCAAACAGATGTACGAGGCAAAAAGCCATTGGAACACCATCATCGTTCAATAAAAGTGCCAACCTATCAAACCAGAAAAATAACTCATCCTTTTTCTCTAGCCATGCATCCATCATTTCTTCAGTCGACTTAAATGTAATAACACACGAATTCCAGACATAACCCCATCTGGAGATCTGGACATCAAAACCTTCATTAACTAAGGCCTTCTGGACTAATTCGAAAAGAATGTTTGATGATCCCCGTTAACGATCTCTTCACCCAACTGGAGCTCTCAGACGAAATATGCATTTCCCAACTATTTTTTATACCTTTCCTCCTGTTGAAACCATCGATCGACCGATCCCTATGGTCCGATGCATTGTTCTTCAATCTATCAGACAGTAAGGCCTCCTTGTAAGATCTTGTATCCCTTACACTCCTGTTAATAACACCTTTCTCTTTGAACCTTGAAAGATCTTCTGTGTTCGACCTTGAAGGCATCATCAAAGAAGTGTTCTTCCCGACTGACCTCACCCTAGCATCCTTGTATCTTGCAGTACCCACTGAAATCCTCCAACCATCAATCATCGAACCATTCAGTTTGGCTATCGCCCTTCTTAGACTTTCCTCATTGCCAAAATGCACAAAAGCAAAAGTGAAGAATTTGTATTTCGGATTCCTTGTTTCTCTGGGAATGAACACTCTGACTACCGGACCGTGAGATGAAAACAACTCCCTTAACTCTCGTCGAGACACTCTTTTACTGAGATGATCAACGAACGTCGTCCAAACATTCTCTGAAGAAAATTCCCCTCTCAATTTTACTCTCTCAACGTCACTATCTCTCTCCATTAACTCGTAGCTTACTGCAACTAGATGATGAAATGAAGAAACTTTGTGAATACAGAAACTGATTAGTGACCCTCCGCTATCATGACATTCAACAACTATTGGAGGCCATAATCAGTTAACTGTTCTCAAGCTTTTGAATGTACGATTAATCAAGGACCATGCATTTAATTAACAGAAGATAGTTGCCCTTTCAGGCACTAACCAGATAAAAACTTCAGTAATTTCAGGTGGCAATTAAATAGACCAAAGGAGGGGGTGGGGGAGACAGTAGAATTAGAGTAGAACTTGGTGATAATTTTTAAGCTAATAAACTTGAGAAAAAGAAAATCCAAGGGGGAAGAGATAGGTGGGAATGGTTTCAATATATTACTGGTTGGTACAATTGACACCTAAACTACGATATGATTAGGATCTCAGAGAGGAAAAGGGCAGTGCTGATAAAAACTAGAACCATAATCTGCTTTGAAGATGGAACACGAGAGCATCTGTTAGTTTTTTTATTCCTGGTACCTGCTCTGTTGGGGGATTTTTTTTGGCGATGCGATGATGGATGAATGACCAACTCAAGTAAAAAATAAAACAGTGCTAAGCCTTAAGGAAACCTGAGAGAATATATTCTTTTAACAGAACTACACCACTTCACCAAACTATTCAATGCTAGAATGCTACAATTGAATCATGACTACGGCATCTTACCTGTCCATAGAGTCCCCATCCAAAAGTAAGTAGTGCACCAGCATCTGTTCAAGCACCAAATTGCTTAATGTGATAATGGTATCAATCTAATTTGAGATGAACTAATACATAATGATATACATTAAAAAACCAGACATCGAACAAGCAGACCTTCTCATGTCATGCAACATTCTGATGAATCATTAATCATCATCCTAATGACTACTAATATTACAACTTCAGTACTTCACCCATTTTCATGGATATATTGCAAATCAATGGATCTATGAGCGTACAAGAGATGGTTTAATTCCAAAGTTATCAATTCGCCTCCAACCATGTATTATAAGATGAGTTATACCTGATCAATTTATCACCCTAAATATTTATTAATTTTAATGAAATTTTGTTCAATTTACTGGTTTATCTCATTTGAACTTCTAGATGACACTGGAATTCAGAATAACTTCTTCTCCAGCAAGTGTAACCATATACAATAGCATTTTCTAATTAGTTTAAATTTTCATGGCAATTAATCAGTTCAACAAGGGAATGATAAAAGGCATACCTGTGATTACCACACTGTGTCGCCCCCCACAGGCAATCCCTTTTATGTAACTTCCAGGAACTCTAAAATTCTGCGTCTCTGAACTCAAGCTTCCTTGAGAATGTGCAGAAGCTCTATCTCTCCCAAAAGAAGAGAGCTCGATACAAGGTACAGGATGAGGTGAGGATACCATACGTACCCTGGAACCCAAACCAAGCTGCCCCTCGCCTCCATAGCCCCAGCCCCAGACCTGCCCAACATCTGAAACTTAGGGAAAATTAGGATATACCTGGAATCTTGCTTCATAAAAGGAAACCATTAACGGCTTGAAATGTAATATAACCAACCTAGACCCATTTCACAAATTAGTCCAAGGGCTGGACATGTACCTGATAATGCTAGAGTGTGGCGCCCACCGGCAGCTACAGTTGCAATCCTTACTCCCGGATTCAAAGTTACTAGACATGGCAATGCAGAGAGAGTTTCATCACCAGACGATGAGCTTTCAGCAGAATGTTTTGCTGATGATATTCTTCTTCTTTTTGTACTTTCCTCTCCTCCTCCTCTACAATCAGCAGCAGAAAATGTCCCGCCACTTGATCTTGAGCCTTGAGAACAAGGGCTCACTTCAAGGATTTCACCCTTCATAAAATGAGTATACCAACAAGATCATATATCAAAATCTGTTTTCTTAACCCAAAAGATGTTTACCTTGCTCCGCCAAAAATGAGTTCTGTCTTTCAAATGCATCCTTCTCTAAGCTTGTACCCATGGGTGAATCACCAAATACCTTCCCTGATGGAATACACTCTTTCCACCCCCATGTGTAAACTTCTGCATTCTCTGTTAATAAGAAATTGAATTGACTAATCAGCTAAGTCACTTACCAAGGTTCCAACTAGTTCCTAGTTATACTAGTTAAAGTCCTTAAAAACAAGTCATATTTGACTAAACAGGTGAAACATCCAACATACAAAATTATCCCATGTCTGGAAACAAAATAAAAAAAATACTCGTTTTGGATAATACTCGTATTGACACACCGAGTCCAAGTATCATAGAGTAAACCAAGTCAGTGAGGGTAACAAAGTAGGGAGGTCTCAGTCTCAGTATTACCCGTAACTGCAGCACAGTGAGCCCAGCCAGCTGCTACTTTCACTATGGAAGCTTCAGTTGGAAGTGGAAATGGCTCTGGAATTTCCTGAAACAAACAAATTACATAAAAAGGAATGTAAATTTTAATTCGCTAAACAAATATAATCCCAACGAAAATGAAAAAGAAAAAAGGGGGAACATATAGTGCAATTAAATACCCCATGCTTCCCGGATGTGACGTAGCTTTGACCTAAATCATCTGTTGAACCCCATGTGATTAGCTTCCCTGAATCTAAAGTTTTAAACACAAGCACCATTAGTAACCGAAGTAATGCATAAAAAAATTTATTGTACATACCAAAACACATCTTAAAACCACTTTTAATAAGAAAAAGAAGTTCGATTCAAAGCTCAAATTTGTATATTAACAACTTGAAATTTGAAAGCTGTCTTTTTCTAGTGTAAAGAAGAGAGACAGATCTGTAGTTAAAATCAGTCAAACAAAGAGCTTAAGTGAACTCAGTATCGCTAGCTTAACTCAATTTAGTTGACTTCAAGGTAAACCAAAACAAAACAAAAACAGTGGAAAATTTGAAATTTCTCTTCATCTGGTTCTCCTACATTTTCTCTCCTGCCAAACAGAACAAAATGTACCAATTCAAAAACTCACTAAAACAAAGAACTGGAATGAACTCAATATCGCCAAGTTTTAACTCAATTGAGTTGACTTAGAGGGAAAGCAAAACAAAGACAACAAAAAATTGAAAATTTCTCTTCCTCTACTTCACCTACATTCTCTCAACGATCAAACAGATCAAAATGTACTAATTCAAATCTCCTCCAACTCAACCTCAATTACACGTCATAAAAAAATAAAAGCCTTATCAAGAATAAAATTTATCATATAGAAAAAAATACCGATTTTTTAATCAAGAGAATTTTTTAAAAAAAGAGAGCAGAACAGAAGGTTAGAGATTTGAAAAGAAAAGCAACCGGAGATGGCCATGGCGAATCCGCAACCGCCACCGCATACGTCGGTCCAATAACAACCGCCGGAAGCCGGAATCTGCACGGCAGTCGGCGATAAAAGCGGCGCCCGATGAGGCAAAGCTCCGGGCAAATATCCCCACATGAAAACCACGCGCTCTTTGTTAACTCCTCCCTCCATTTTCACCTCCATGCTTTCTTTTCCTTCTCCATTCATCTCGCAACAGAGAAAGGAAAATAAACAATTTTAAAAAGTTATTTTTTGATTATTTCTCGGAGTGTTCTGGTTTCGATTGGGGGAGAGGAGAGCCCAAAATTTGGGGCGAATAAGAAGCGGGGGGCGGGGAATCGTATCATTTGCAAGTGAACGGGATGTGCCACGTAGGATACGCAAGCTGGGATCGAAATCCACGTGGCATAACACGAGCCGCTAGATTTCTAAGAGTTTCGTAGCCAGTAGTTGAAGAGGAAGTTTCTGGAACGTTACCTCTTTTTCCTTCTCACTTCCTGATTGTGAAGTTACATAGCCCTCGTGGTTGATGGCGTGTTTGATTTAAGTTTCGACACGTGTCCGACGTAGCTTCACCCCCAATCATTGCGATTTTCCACGTTTCGACATACTATAGGTCATATACTCTCATTTAAACGTATGTAAAATATGTTGACACGTAGTTTATAAGTTGTCTGTAATATATATATTGTTAATTGATTAAAAAATTAAATAAAAAATATTTTATAATCACTTATATTATTTATAAAAAGTTTATTTACTCTCAATTAATGATATTTTTATCGGAAAAACTTAAAAACTTATTTATCAAATTAATAATTTTAAACAATTATTTATAAAAAAACATATTTTAATTGATTGATTGTAACGTAAAATAGATACATCTGGTTATTTATATTTTTTTCTTCAATTAACATGTATAAATTATGTTATTAGTATAAATTATGTTATTAGTTTAAATAAGAAGCGTGGACAAAAGTTCTTAAATAATGTATATTTTTTCTTCAATTAACATGTATAAATTATGTTATTAGTTTAAATAAGAAGCGTGGACAAAAGTTCGTAAATAATGTGTTGGGAAATAAGAAATTGGGAAATTTGTTGAGATAGTGTATTTATTACAATGTCTATTGGAAATCGTGTGAATTATTTGACGTATTTATAAAATCTTCTAAAATCTATGATATCTTTCTCAAACTACATGTAGGGATGGGCATCTAACCCAAATTCGACGGGTTTCGACCCGATCGGATCGGATCGGGTCGAATTTTTTTAAAAAAAATTGGGTCTGGTCGGGTCGGTCGGATTTTTTTCATGTGGTGTTCGGGTCGGGTTGGGTTTAGGGTGAAAAAAATCCGACCCGACTTGAAAAAAATATATAATTTTACTCTATATATTTAGGAATAATTACAATAATACCCCTCTATATATTATTTTGTTCAATTTAGTCACTATTTTTATTAAATAAAAATATTTTTTTATTATTTCGGGTCGGGTCAAATCATTTTTTAAAACTATCTATCGGATCGTGTAGGATGAAAATTAATTTTGTTGGATCGGGTCAAGGGTGGAGGTCCCCTTCTTATCGGGTCAGGTGTGTCGCAACCGTCTTTCGGGTTGGGCCCCGGAATTGGGCTTCGACTTGAATAACGGGATTGGAGTCGCCACCGACCATTTTAAAAACATTTAGGTAGGTCGGTCACCATCTTACCTGATCTGCGTTGTACCAGAAACGTGTCGGGTTCGGGAGTCGGTTACGATCAAGGAAGGATTAGCACCCTTAAACCGCCCTTTCGGTACCAATTAATTTGTCGGTTGTCTTAATAGCGAAAATTAGAATTTAAATCGAAATTTAAAAATTCAATTCGAATTATTTACCTTTGATTAATTGGAAATTCTCTAAAAAATGTTAGATTGTAAAAAATATATATAATAAATCAAAGGAAATAAAATAATAAAATAAAATAAAATAAAACTCATAATGGTTGAAGGACCATATGGAGAATTTACCCAAGTCCTTGGTCACGTGGGGTTTGTTTTCACGCATGCCACTTGTGCTATTAAACATGCAACCCTCAAATATGCAACTTACAAACATGCAACAGGTGTTAGCTGATCCAACATCACGCTTTGTTTGAGTGAAAACAAGACTGGATATCCTTTGATCTTGCCCAAGACGTTTAGAGCAGCTAGCGTTGTCATCCCCTTACGAGTGCACTTCGACGCAGAAGCAATGTGTGGCACGGCGACAACGTTCTTCATCTCGGCAGGCCTGGGTTTCATGCAAAAGACATCGAAACCAACTCGGAACATCGGATTTTGCTTCAAATGCTCAACTAGAGCTACTTCATCTACCCCAGGCCCCTGCTACAATTAACAAGGATTGCTTCATTCTTCATTGTGGCAAGCCTTTCTTTGTTAGAAAAAATCTTGACAAAATCTTCGAACTTGGCTTGAAACGAGCCGTCTCTGATCATGTTCAGCACATCTCCGTCGGAATACCGGCTTTTGATTTGGTAAGTGAAGTCTGGAGCAGCAGCGTAAGTTGGCAAAGCCAAGATTGAATCTTTTGGATCCCCCCGTAACTTCCATGTCCACCTCCGTAGCTTCCACGACCACCACCATAGCTTCCGCGGTTACCACCGTGTCCGTATCTCCACGTTTACCACTGGAACCGCCATCTTATACACTGGAACCACCACCATAACCGATTTTCTTGTCACCTCCAAGCTTAGCGTCGGTTGTTTCCGTAGCCAACTCACATGCGCTCGTGTGCCAATTTATATATATATAGATGCATGTAATCCACTGTACGCATGCTTGGCGTCCTCTCTTTGCTTGCGGGAAATATTGGCTTGAAGAAACGAGATTTGGTGAGCAGCACGAGTTTGGCAGCTTCGGGACTGGATATCATTACACATAGACAATCTAGTATATGTGTCTTGAATATGGAGCCATCGCTTTGCTGGTTGGAAGCAAAGAAGACATCTGGGTTTTTGGCCGTAGAACTGGAAAAGGAAAAAAAAGATTTGAGAGCAGAGGAAGAGAGAAGAAAAGAATCAAAACCCTTGTTGTGTCCCCTTTCCTCCTCGTGCCAACTCAACGTGGCCCCGTTTTTGTGTTTTTCCTCCCCCCTTTAGGAACAAAAATGAGTGATAGATAAGGTGATAGTCGTGGGGTACTTGAGTAGGTGGAGATAGTGGGATTGAACGTGGTTTAGTGGGTTGTTTGATGGGAATGGAAGACATGCAAAAAATGTATATATATAAATTAATAAAATAATAATAATAAATAAATAATAAATTTTTTTGTTGTCTCGGACAAAAATGGATGTCTACAGCTGCCCCTCTTTGCATATTTTTGTGTTAACAAGAATAGAGCAAAGACGAAAAAAAAAGACAATCAATTTTTGTCCGGTGTTCTCAAATGTGATTGGGCTTCCTGGAATTGGGCCTTTGTCTTCTTCTCGGTTTAAAGATTTTGGCTTGAAAACTCTTCCAGAAAGCAATTTATCGCTGTCATCGAGCTGAATGAAATCGAACTCGTCAGGTCTTTGGTTGGCAAATAATCCTTCTTTGAGTTGGATATTCTTCGTCGCGAGGTTGAAATCCAATCTAAAGATGGATGATGCTTGTGTGCACGATTCCCTCCGTCGTGAGATTGAAACCGCGGGTGGCGCTTTCATCTTGAAGTTGAGCCTGGAATTGGATATCCTTCCAAGTAAGTAGCATTGTTCCGAGTCCAATATCCTCCGCCGTGAAGTTGAAATTGGCTCTGGAATTGGGAAATTATTTGTTGACAACCAGCGGTCCCTTCGTCGTGAAGTTGAACTTGCGTTGTCTGGAGTCCAATATCCTTTGCTGTGAAGTTGAAATTGGCTCTGAAATTGAGAAGTTGTTTGTTGACAACCAGCGGTCCCTTCGTCGTGAAGTTGAACTTGCGTTGTCTGGAGTCCAATATCCTTCGTTGTGAAGTTGAAATTAGCTCTGAAATTGAGAAGTTGTTTGTTGACAACCAGCGGTCCCTTCGTCGTGAAGTTGAACTTGTGTTGTCTGGAGTCCAATATCCTTCGTTGTGAAGTTGAAATTGGCTCTGAAATTGAGAAATGTTTGTTGACAACCAGCGGTCCCTTCGTCGTGAAGTTGAACTTGCGTTGTCTGGAGTCCAATTGTGAAGTTGAAATTGGCTCTGAAATTGAAAATGTTTGTTGACAACCAACGGTCCCTTCGTCGTGAAGTTGAACTTGCGTTGTCTAGAGTCCAATATCCTTTGTTGTGAAGTTGAAATTGGCTCTGAAATTGAAAATATTTGTTGACAACCAGCGGTCCCTTCGTCGTGAAGTTGAACTTGCGTTGTCTGGAGTCCAATACCCTTCGTTGTGAAGTTGAAATTGGCTCTGAAATTGGGAAATGTTTATTGACAACCAGCGGTCCCTTCGTCGTGAAGTTGAACTTGCGTTGTCTGGAGTCCAATATCCTTCGTTGTGAAGTTGAAATTGGCTCTGAAATTGAGAAGTTGTTTGTTGACAACCAGCGGTCCCTTCGTCGTGAAGTTGAACTTGTGTTGTCTGGAGTCCAATATCCTTCGTTGTGAAGTTGAAATTGGCTCTGAAATTGAGAAATGTTTGTTGACAACCAGCGGTCCCTTCGTCGTGAAGTTGAACTTGCGTTGTCTGGAGTCCAATTGTGAAGTTGAAATTGGCTCTGAAATTGGGAAATGTTTATTGACAACCAGCGGTCCCTTCGTCGTGAAGTTGAACTTGCGTTGTCTGGAGTCCAATATCCTTCGTTGTGAAGTTGAAATTGGCTCTGAAATTGAGAAATGTTTATTGACAACCAGCGGTCCCTTCGTCGTGAAGTTGAACTTGCGTTGTCTGGAGTCCAATATCCTTCGTGGTGAAGTTGAAATTGGCTCTGAAATTGAGAAATGTTTGTTGACAACCAGCGGTCCCTTCGCCGTGAAGTTGAACTTACGTTGTCTGGAGTCCAATATCCTTCGCTGTGAAGTTGAAATTGGCTCTGAAATTGAGAAATTGTTTATTGACAACCAGCGGTCCCTTCGCCGTGAAGTTGAACTTGTGTTGTCTGGAGTCCAATATCCTTCGTGGTGAAGTTGAAATTGACTCTGAAATCGAGAAATTGTTTATTGACAACCAGCGGTCCCTTCGCCGTGAAGTTGAACTTACGTTGTCTGGAGTCCAATATCCTTCGCTGTGAAGTTGAAATTGGCTCTGAAATTGAGAAATTGTTTATTGACAACCAGCGGTCCCTTCGCCGTGACGTTGAACTTGTGTTGTCTGGAGTCCAATATCCTT